ATTTTCCCCACCCTCCAACCCTCAGTGACTACCTCTCTACTCTCTATTTCTGTGGGTTTGTCTTTGTCAGGTTCCACATATAAGTGATATCATAGAGTATTTTTCTTTCTCTGTCTGACTTACTCAGTGTAATGCCCTCAAGGTCTATCCAAGTTGTTGCAAATGACAGGACTTCTTTCCTTCTACTGGCTGAACAATATTCACACATATGCTACATCTTCTTTTTTTAAAAGTATTTTTTTGTTGATTATGGTATTATAGTTTTCCCAATTTTTCTCCCTTTATCCCTCTTCCACCCTGTCCTCCAACCCTACAGCATTCTCCTCCCCACCCTTAGTTCGCATCCATGGGTTGTCCATATAAGTTCTTTGAGTCCTCTGTTCCCTATACCATTTTTTTATTTCTCCCTATTTTATGCCTACTAATTATGCTTCTTTCCAGTACATTTCCTCCACTATTCCTCCTTTCCCACTCCCCACTGAAATCCTTCTATGTGATGTCCATTTCTCTGATTCTGTTCCTGTTCTGGTTATTTGCTTAGTTTTTGTTTTAATTGTTTTTCTTTTCTTTTAGGTTCATTTGTTGATAGTTGTGAGTTTGTTGTTATTTTAGTGTTCATATTTTTATCTTCTTTTTCTTAGATAAGTCCCTTTAACATTTCATATAATACAGGCTTGGTGATGATGAACTCTTTTAACTTGACCTTGACATTATCAGTGAAGCACTTTATCTGCTCCCCCCCCCCATTCTAAGTGATAACTTTGCTGGACAGATTAATCTTGGATGTATGACCTTGCCTTTCATGACTTCAAATACTTCTTTTCAGCCCCTTCTTGCCTGCAAGATTTCTTTTGAGAAATCAGCTGATAGCCTAATAGGCACCCCTTTGTAGGAAACTCTCCTTTCCTCTGGCTTCTTTTAGGATTTTCCTTTTATCTTTAATCTTGGGTAACTGAATGAGGATAAGCCTTGGTGTGTTCCTCTTTGAGTCCAACTTCTTTGGGACTCTCTGGGCTTCCTGAGCTTCCTGGAAGTCTATTTCCTTCACCAGATTGGGGAAGTTTTCCTTCATTATTTGTTCAAATAAGTTTTCAATTTCTTGCTGTTGTTCTTCTCCTTCTGGCATCCCTATAATTCGGATATTAGTGTTTCAGGTTGTCCCAGAGGTTTGTAAGACTGTCTTCACTTTTTTGAATTCTTGTTTCTTCCTTCTGGATGGATGTTTATTTCTTCCTTTTGTTCTAAATTGTTGCTTTGAATCCTGGTTTCCTTCCTGTCACTGTTGGTTCCCTGAATATTTTGCTTTATTTCACTTTGGGTATCTTTCATTTGTTTTTTCATTTTTTGACCAAGCTCAATCAGTTCTGTGAACATTTTGATTATCAGGGCTTTAAATTTTCCATCAGACAGGTTGGCAATCTCCTCCTCATTCAGTTCTCTTTCTGAGGTTTTGCTCTGTTCTTTCATTTGGGCCATATTTCTTTGTCTTGGTGCACCTGATAAGTTGTAAGGGGACAGGGCCTTAGGTATTCACCCAGGCAGGGCAACCCTCTTTGTTGCATTGTGGTGCTGCTTGTGGGGGAGGGGCCAGAGAGGGAACAATGCAGCTCACCTGCTCATCTCTAGTGCACTTTTCAATGAACTCTCTTGTGTGAGACTGGCAGTTTCTTCCATTGCGGCAACCTCAGTGGTAGCCCACAGTTAGCTCTGACTCTCAGTTTGCCCCTTAAGTCAGCCCCTCCCTAGCAGCCTGCCAAGTTCAGTAGCCAGCCCCACCCCCACGATCTGCCATGTCACTGTGGTTTTTCTGAGTTGGCCTGTGAGGTCTGCTGCATTACAGGTCTGGTTGTTCTGTTTGATTTTTTCTTTAATTCCTTGGTTGTTGGAGTTCCATGCAGTTTGATTTTCTGGCACTTTTGGTTGTTTATTGAGTTTAGATTGGTTGTTATCCTCCTTTTGGTTATGTGAAAAAGTGAAGGGTTTCTACCTACACCTCCATCTTGGCTAGAATACTTATGTGTTCCTTCTTTATACGTTCATCCATGATGTCGATATGTCTATTTTATTTTATTTTTTTATTCTTTCTTGAAATTTTATTTTATTTATTTTTTTCACATTTTTAATTTTATTGATTATGCTATTATAATTGTCCTATTTCCTCCCTTCATTCCCCTTCACCCTGCACACCCCCTCCCACCCACATTCCCCCCCTTTAGTTCATGTCCATGGGTCATAAGTTCCTCAGCTTCTACATTTCCTATACTATTCTTGCCCTCCCCCTGTCTATTTTCTACCTACCATCTATGCTACTTATTCTCTGTACCTTTTCCCACTCTCTCCTCCTCCCACTCCCCTTGCTAACCCTCCATGTGATCTCCATTTCTGTGGTTCTGTTCCTGTTCTAGTTGTTTGCTTAGTTTGTTTTTGGTTTTGCTTTAGGTGTGGTTGTTAATAATTGTGAGTTTGCTGTCATTTTACTGTACATGATTTTTACCTTCTTTTTCTTAGATAAGTCCCTTTCATATAATAAGGGCTTAGTGACGATGAATTCCCTTAAGTTGACCTTATCTGGGAAGCACTTTATCTGCCCTTCCATTCTAAATGAAAGATTTGCTGGATAGAGCAATCTTAGATGTAGGTCCTTGCCTTTCATGACTTGGAATACTTTTTCCCAGCCTCTTCTTGCCTGCAAGGTCTCTTCTGAGAAATCAGCTGACAGTCTGATGGGAACTCCTTTGTGGGTAACTGCCTCCTTTTCTCTTGCTGCTTCTAGGATTCTCTGCTTCATTTTTATCTTGGCTAATGTAATTATGATGTGCCTTGGTGTGATCCTCCTTGGGTCCAACTTCTTTGGTACTCTATGGGCTTCCTGGACTTCCTGGAAGTCCATTTCCTTTTCCAGATTGGGGAAGATCTCCTTTATTATTTGTTCAAATGACTTTGCCACTTTTTGCTCTTCCTCTTCTCTTTCTGGTACCCCTATAATTTGGATGTTGGAACGTTTAAAGATGTCCTGGAGGTTCCTAAGCCTCTCCTCATTTTTTTGAATTCTTGTTTCTTCATTCTTTTCTGTTTGATTGTTTCTTTCTTCCTCTGGTCCACTCCATTGATTTGAGTCCTAGTTTTCTTCCCATCACTATTAGTTCTCTGTGCATTTTCCTTCATTTCACTTAGCATGACCTTCATTTTTTCATCTAATTTTCAACCAAAATTAAACATTTCTGTGAGCATCCTGATCACCAGTGCTTTGAACTGTGCATCTGATAGGTTGGCTATCTCTTCTTCACTTAAAAGTATTTGCTTTGGAGCTTTGATCTGTTCTTCCATTTCGACTACTTTTTTTTCTTGTCATGCCTGTTAGGTATGAGGGGTGGAGCCTTAGGTGTTCACCCAGTTGCTGGCTTGTGATGCTGTCTGTGGGGGTGGGGTCTGAGAGGGAACAATGGCACTTGCTCCACTCTCTGTTGGATTTCAATCCCTTTCACTGCTTCCCCCAAGCAAACTGGGTCTTTCTAGTGCTGATTCCGGGTGTGTGGGTTTGTGTATGTTCTAGAACCCTGTGGGTGTCACCAGCGAACTCTCCTGTGAGACTGGGAGTCTCTCCCACTGCCTCAACCCCACAGGTATTTTCAATTGGTTTTTTGAGGCTTTATTTCCCTGAGCTGGGGCCCTGGGCTATACAGTCTATCTTGCTCTCCAACTTCACCTGGTTTGTTTGCGTGCAAATGTGGGACTGCTTGGTCAGCCAGCCACCCTGTGAGCCTCACTGGGTCTGTCTGCTGCCACCCCATGCCTGGGGTCTGCCAGCTGCTGCCTTGTGTGCTGGGGTCTGCAAGCCTTTGCTGTGACCCCTCTCTACCCAGCACCCAACTCGGCTCAGCCTCCCAACTCCGCCCTTCCTACCGGGCTGGATCAATGTGTCTAACTCCTCCATTGTTGGACTTTTGTACAGTTCAATTTTCTGCCAGTTCTGTTTTTTTTTTTTCCCTAAATTTTTGTTGTCCTTAATTTGGTTGTGCGAGGAGGCAGTGTGTCTACCTATACCTCCATCTTGGCTGGAAGTCCCATATATCTATTTTATATTGACCTGTACTTCTCATATTTCCACCAAATTATAAGATTCACTTAATAAACTATGAGGCCAGTCTTCTAGGATTTCTATATAGTGAAAGAAACCTACCCTGGCTGGTGTGGCTCAGTGGATTGAGCACCAGCCTTCAAACCAAAGGATCGCCAGTTCAATTCCCAGTCAGGGCACATGCCTAGATTGTAGGCGAGGTTGCCAGTAGCGGGTGCACAGAGGCAACCACACATTGAAGTTTCTTTCCCTCCCTTCTCCTCTGCCTAAAAATAAATAAATAAATCTTAAAAAAAAAAGAAACCAGGAAAAAGCTCTTGGGCTGGGTACGAAAATTTCTGTGTTTTTTTTTCAGATGCAGAAAACTATATATTTATTTGAATGGAGCTGTCAGTGTGTAGGTTTACATTTTGTGTTTTAAAATAGTATACAACCCCCATATTCTATAAGGGCAACGAAGCTACACCATGGGGATTCAGAAATAGTTTTATCACAGAGGCATGTTGCTAACTTGGAAAACTTGATTTTTTAAAATCCTCACCTGAGGATATATTTATTTTAGAGAGAGAGGAAGATGGGGTGGGGGGGAGAGAGAGAGAGAGAGAGAGAGAGAAATGTTGATGTGAGAAACACCGATCATCTCCTGTACACCCCCTGATTGGGGTCCAAACCTATGACCTAGGTATGTGCCCTGACTTGGAATCGAACCTGCAACATTTTTGGTGCATGGGATGATGTTCCAACCAATTGAGCACCAGGCCAGGGCTGAAAAACTCTTAATTATAAAAGGTGTTTATTGAAAATTGAGTTAATGAACAGCACAGATAAGGTTTGATGGCCCTCAGCCCACCTTCCCTGGACTGTGTTTGCCAAAGAGCCTTGCCTCACTGGCATGTCCTGCTTTCTGTCCTGTCTCTTTAAGATGAGAGTCTATGTGAAGTCAGTGTCACTATTTCAATGGCTCTTTCTGTTGTACATGTTAATGGTCTGCTGTAAGCTGATGTCTGCCTCAAGCTCGCACCCCTGGGGACATGCAGGTAGGCTCTTTTAAGCTCATTATATGCCAATGAGACCAATTAATAAACCCCTTTCAAACATCAGGGTCCACACTTTAGACTGAGGTAACTGACAAGTTTTTGATATTGTATAAATACCCACAGGAAGCATGAAACACAGCAGAGTGAGTCAGTTTAACAGTTTGGTACCTAAAGACTGTTGTTCCAGGTATCTTTTAAAGATGTTCTTCAGGTTTTTCTGTTTTCTTTTCCTTTTCTGAGTATAATTCCATTTTTGTCATCATTTATTAAGGAAGCTAGAAAAATAGTAGCACTTTATTATTTTTTAGTAAGTACATGAAATTCATCTTTATTTTTCTTTTTCAATCAATTCATGTTTTATTTATTTAAGTTAATTTCTTTATTATTTTAATTACAGTTGACATTCAATATTATATTAGTTTCAGATGTATAGCATAGTGGTTAGACATTTATATACCTTAAGAAGTGAACTCTGCAATAACCCCAGTACTGACCTGACACTACACATAATTATTGCAATATTATTGACTACATACCTAATGCTGTACTTTATATCCTTGGGACTGTTTTGTAACTAACAATTTGTTCTTGTTAATTTTTTCTCCTTTTTCACAGAGCCCTCCAACCTCACTCTCCTCTGGCAACTATCAGTTTGTTTTCTGTACCTATGAGTCTATTTGCAATTTGTTTGTTTATTTATTTTGCTCTTTAGATTCCACATGTAACTGAAATTACATGGTATTTGAGTTTCTGTGTTTTACTTATTTCACCTAGCATAATACTCTCTAGGTATATCCATGTCGTGAGTGGCAATATTTCATTCTTTTTTTATGGCCAAGTAATATACTATTGTATGTATGTGTCTTCACTTTTTTATCTACAAATCTATTGGTGGGTACTTTGGTTGTTTTCATATCTTGGCTGATAAATAATGCTTCAGCAATACTTCATTTCTGTATTTAGATGAGGTCTGTCCATAAAGTATCCAGCTATGTACCATGAAAAATAGAGACATATTGAAGAACATACAAAATATAAGAAACAAATGGAGGTTCCATAGTGTAGTGGTTATCACATCTGCTTTACAAAATACAAGAAACATTGTACATAGGAAAATGATGCTCAGTCCCCTTCAAAGTTATGGCCTTCTTGAGGAAATCTGATGTATTGGTAGTGGTTGGAATGAAGTCATTAGCAACTGCAGCATGATGTTCCTTATGCTCTGGTAGCAGAAGCTGCAGAATGAATTTTCCCATGACACCTTTCAGGCCAAGATCCTGTGTCAAAATCTCAGACACAGAAGTTTTTGGAATCCTCATGTCAGTTTCTAGTTCTCACACTGTCAATGACTGATCTTTGTTGACTGCAGCCCGTACACATTCAACATTCTCAGGTGTTCTGCTTATTGCAGACCTTCTAGAATGTGAATCACTTTCAACAGATTCTCAACCATCTTTGAAGTATTTGTGCCACACTTTAATTTGGGCTGCAATCATTGCATCATCCCCAAAAGCCTTTTGAATCATCTGAATAGTTTCCATGGAGGAAATGTTCAAGCTTAATGTAAAATTTGATGCAGATTTGTTGCTCTACACATTGAGTCATTTTGAGTATGTTGGCCACACAGTACACGTGCTCACTCAACAGTGTCTGCCACCCCTTCTGACTAGTACAGTGAAGTTGCCATTGTTCATTCACGCACATTCCAGTCCACTCTCCTTGGCTGCCAGGTTACATTGATGTCATGAAAACCATTGTTATATTAATAATGGCTGGACAGTTTTTGGACACACCTTGTGTGTGTGTGTGTGTGTGTGTGTGTGTGTATTCTTGCATCTTTCTTTGAAGGCAAGACATCTTTACTGATAAATTTAAGTTAACATTTACAGGATTATGGCAGAGGGAAATTTTAGATAATTTAAGACCCTTTTATGATGTGTAGAGGAAAGATAAATGATTTTTTAAAAAGAAGAAAGAAAGAAAAAAAGAGGCGGTAATTTTTCATGGAACCTAGAATGGAATATATCTAAAATGGAAACTCATTATGATAATTTTTAGTGAGATCCATGTCTATACTTTGCTTATTTCTAAAGAAAGATTAATCACTTAAGCGTGCGCGCGCGCGCGTGTGTGTGTGTGTGTGTGTGTGTGTGTTTCTCTCTGCCTTTTCTTGTTACTTATATGTTTAAAGTGACACAGACTTGGAAACTCTCTAATGAATTGTGTTTTCTTGAATAATTTGCATTTATTAGCAGTCTTGTTGCCAGACAATTAATTTACTGTCTCTGCTTTGGTAATTTGAGATGTGACAGTGCCAGGCATGCTTTGACTTTTTGGTGAGAGAGTGAAGTCTGAACCAAAAACATTATGTGTCAACACTATAAAATCTCTCTCCAAAACGTCTTGCATATAGAGAAGTTTATTAGATATTCTTACCCTCAGACATATAGCTTTCTACTCAGTTTTTCTGATATTAAGTTGACATAATTTTAGGCCCAAGATGATTTTCAAAATCTCTATGACTCAATCTTTACTCTTCTAGCTACAGTTTCAAGAAAAGAAGAAAAATAATGATTGAAATTTTAATGGATCAACATTAAAATCTATACCCTGTGAGGTGCTGCAGCTAGTTGGTTTTTGTGCTATGTGTTTCTGATGAGCTTGTTCTCCAGGATACAGGGCTTGAAATCATTAGTATAATATGTTTCATACACATCTCTTTTCATGAATGTCACTTGAGAGTCAGGCTAGTAAACAGGCAAAGCATTCAGTGGGGTAGATTATTAACAGCAGATTTCCCAATTTCCAGAAACTAGGCTTCAGATATTGTGTTGAAAGTGATTAAAACTTGAAGGAAACAGAGGACATGACTTCAGTTTTTATCTGTGTGGCAATCTTCATTTCCTACTGTCACCTCTGAATTTGCAAAAGGTAGAACTATAGGAATAAATATAAATTAAGTTTAGAATTATATACATAAGAAATGTGGACAATATCTTCCATATAAGCAAATACTTGACAACAGTGGGTTTGTGAGAAAAACCTGGCTAAATCCTGCTGAAGAAATGATATTTTCACCCCAGAATTTCTAGATGATTTTATGTGGGTAATCATCACATCTTCTGGGTTTTGGGTTTTCTTTGGCTTTTGGTGAATTCTTCCTTTCTTTTTGGAATTTAAGTCCCTCTCATTTCCTCATCTTAACAGCCATCAAAAGCAATCAGGACAGTTCCTGTCTGCAGAGGGGTTCTGCTCTCTCACTGTGGCTGCATGCTGCTTGGACAACCATCTTCACAAAATACCTTTTGCCCACAGCCAGGACCTCCATCGTCCACCTCTGGCCTTCTGCTGACAGTGTACATGTTGAGAGGGAGGGTTCCTAATCCTATTGTGAAGTCCTACTGTTGGGAGTGTGTGTTTGCCATATAGTTTTTCCTATAAGCCAGCCTTTGGTCCCCACTCAGATCATCTGACTCAGGCCTTAAGAACTGAAAGCTCCATCACCTGTACAACCACCAGTCCTACAGGTGACACTGGCACTGAGAAATAACAGAGAGCCAGCCCAGGTGGCTAGGTGACTATGTTATTCCCTTGGATTTTATTAATGCAGTTTTACTCCACTATTATTAATGCAGATTTAATCCAAATCTATACTAACGTAATAACAATAGTAATCACTAAGAAACAATCAGTAATACCATCACATGAGAGAACTGGGGGATAACAAACCCAAGTCCCAGAGTCTTAGTCTGCATTTCTGGGAGGCAGTACAGTGGGCAAAGGAGTCGTCAGCATCTTGCAAGAGAGAATCTCAAGAGCCAGGTGGGCAGCAGGGCAGATGAAGTCCTTAGTCCATCAGGGCAGAGCCTCTGGCAGCTGATGCCAAGGGAGATCAGCATGGCATGGAGCATCACTCTGGTGGGTGGAGCTCAGCTGTCTCAGCAGTGGTCTGAAGCCTGCCTCAGTTATACACTTGAGAGTTGTGTACTCCACCCTTCTGGGTCTTTTGATAAGTGTCTTGGTACTCCTGATGGCAAGTATGGAATTTCCCCAGGTGCCTATCTCTGGGAGATCCTGCTCTGCAGACACAGCTGTTCTCGTCACATGTGCAGATATCTTAGGTGTGTCTCATTGCTAGATGTATCTAGTGTGACCTAGGTAGTTTCCTTCTTGAACCAAAATGTCATAGCTGACTGGAAGCCATCTTAGTTGACACAAGTGACTCCATTTTGTTTTATATACTTTATGTTATCTTGACTGGACCAATGCCATTTAATTGGTCCTGCTCTCCACACCTACTCCCTTACAGGTTTCTGGAGCTGTTTCCCTGATGCCTGGAATATAGTGGGTGCTAATTGAATATTTACATTAGGCTGATTAATTTTATCTGTTTGTCACTATGTAATAGTTATGTAGTTTTCTGCTGGTGGTATAAATGCTAAAAATATAGGCAGATGTGAAAAATATCCTTTTAACTTTTTTGTTGATAATATATTAGGGTTCTCCAGAGAAACAAAATCAAAAGGAGATAACAAGCATATCTCTGAGATATTGTGGGTTCTATTCCACAGCACACAATAAAGCAAATATCACAAAAAAAGTGAGTCACATGAGCTTTTGCTTTCCCAGTGAGTTTTAAGTTATGTTTACACTATACTGTAGTCTGTTAAGTGTGCAATAGCATGTCTAAGAAAACAATGCACATACCTGAATTAAAAAATACCTTATTGCTAAAAAAATGTTAACTATCATCTGAGCCTTCAGTAAGTCTTAACTCTTTTGCTATTGGAGGGTCTTGCTTAGATGTGAATGAAAAATGTAGTATCTGTGAAGTGTAATAAAGTGAAGCTTAATATAACAAGGGATGCCTGTGTCTCCATGTGTTTGTATGTGTATATATGGGTATGTGTATATGTGTGTATAGTCTTTGTGAGTGTATTTGTGTGTGTATGTAAAGAGATTTATTATGAGGTACTGGTTCACACAACTGTGGAGCTGGG